GGGCACCTACCAACCTGGGGAGTTCATCTTTCATTATCTTATCTTTTTGCCTTTTCATACTGTTCATGGGGTTGGATTCTCAAGGGTAGAATACTGAAATGGTCTGGCATTCCCTTCTCCTGTGGACCACGTTTTGTCTGAACACTCCACCATGACCCGTCTGTCTTGGGTGGCCCTACACGGCGTGGCTCATAGTTTTATTGAGTTAGACAGGGCTGTGGTCCATGTGATCAGATTGGTTAGTTTTCTGAAAGTGTGGTTTTCAGTCAGTCTACCCTCTGATGGAGAAGGATAAGAGGCTTATGGAAGCTTCCTGATGGGAGAGACTGACTGAGGGGGGAACTGGGTGTTGTTTTGATGAGTGGGGCCATGCTCCAACTTTCTGCTGATGGGCCAGGCTGTGTTCACTTCCTGTAGTTTGACCTGAGACCAAACTGTGGTGGAGGTAATGAAGATAATGGTGACGTCCTCCACAAGCTCCCAGGCACTGCTGCACTCAGTGCCCCCACCCTGCAGAGGCCCCCGCTGACCCACACCTCTGCTAGAGACTCCTGGACACTCACAGACAGGTCTGGGTCAGTCTCTTGTGGGGGCACGGCTCCTTTCCCCTGGGTTCTGGTGCACACCAGGTTTTGTTCGTGCCCTCCAAGAGGGTTAGGCACAGGGATTGTCAAACTCCAGCTCCCTTTCTGCTCATCAGAAAATTCAAGTTTGGGTGGTGTTGTACACAGGGAAGGGTTACACCAAAGTGCCCATCTGCAGAGTTTGCTTGGAACCTCACCCTTCTGCCTTCTTACCTTCCCAGTCCTGCTCACTTCCTGGTAACATTGCCCCAGAGCACTTTATAGTCAACGCATTTCTCCTAAATCCTGTCTCAGCATCTGGGGAGCCCAAAGTAAACACATGCTGTTTTTTTGTTGTTCAGTCACTAAGTCATGTCCAACTCTTTGTGACCCCATGGACTGTAACATACCATGCTGTTTTAATTCCATATAATATGGACTGACACCAGTACCAACCAAGGACTGTGTTGTTTCTAAAGTTGTCTTGGTCACTGCTTGAGACCCTGAGTCTTTGATTCAGGCTGGCTCAGATCTTCTGCACACCTCATAAGGCTACAGGAAATCAGTGGACTCTAGGAGTTCCATACTTGGACATTTAGATGCTCACATTCTGAGAATGTGATGAAATAAGTTTTGCTTTACTTTCTGAATGAGCTGCGACTGTGCAGTGAATGTGGTGATGATGCAGTCCTTCAACTAGCTTTATAAAGGACCCATAGAAAGAACAAAGGATCTAGAAGACATGTGCTCACCAATAATGCAGACAAAACTCCCAACTATGTGTGACTGTTGAGTCCTTGAAAGGTTGCCAGTGCAAATTAAGAAGGGCTGTAAGTGCAGAATGCATACCTCATTTCAAAGATCAAGATAAGAAAAGAAACTAGCCCAATAATCTTATGTTGATTATATGACAAATAATATGTTTGAAATATTGGGTTAAATAAAATTTATTATTCAATTTATTTCACTTGTTTATTTCTACCTTTTAAAAAAGTGGCTACTGGAAATTTTAAATTATTTGTGTACCTTCATATTTCTATTGGACTGAATGTAATAGAGGTCTTAGCTTTCAACCTTAAATGTCAGACCAAATTAAATCTCCCCAGGTCTTCATAATACCTTCACTGTACCTATTTCTGGTGTGCAATTGGCCACGAGTAAATATACAAAATGGTACACTGCCCTCAGTTATAAATAATTTTACCAATGCATAACATTGCCATGGACTTCCCTGGTGACTCAGATGGTGAAAAAGAATCTGTCTGCAATGTGGGAGACCTTGGTTTGATCCTTGGGTTGGAAAAATCCCTTGGAGAAGGAAATGGCAACCCACTCTAGTATTCTTGCCTGGATGATTCCATGGACAGAGGAGCTGGCAGGCTACAATCCATGGGGTTGCCAGGAGTCGACCGTGACTGAACAACTAATACACACACACACACACACACACACACACACACACACATTTGCCTTGGAGTTGGAAAAGTCTACAGTTTGACCCCTAACCTGGAAAATATTGAGTATTATACTAGAAACATATTTTGAAAATCAGTGCTAGTAATTATTACTCTTAATTTAAAATAATCTAATATGTGGACATTTTATCTTAAAGCTATTAATAGTTATTCCAAAGTTTTTCTCTGTGTCTATCAAATTTGCTTCACTGACAGCTCTTCTGTACTGTCTCCCCCAAGCCCTCCACCAACAATCTGTAGAGTGTCAATACTTCTCACCTGGACTGTGACAGCTTCATAGTTGAGCGCCCTCTGTCTCATTTTTCAGCCTCAAACCCACCTGCATTGGCTACCACATTACCTCTGTAACCCACTGTCCAGCCCTACCTTCACCCTAAAAGAAAGGCCTTCAATGATATTATATTTTTTTGCCAAATTTTCTCCAAAACACTAAACAGACATTAAATGCTTTCTATACTCTCATGCCAACTCTATTTTTTTTTTTTTTACTGCACCCCACAGCATGCAGAATCTTAGTTCCTGGCCCAAGGATAGAACCCACACCTCCTGCAGTAAAAACATGGAGTCTTAACCAATGCACCACCAGAGAAGTCCCCAAACTCTACTTTTCTTTTCTTTTCTTTTTTTTAATTCATTTTCCCCCCAGCTCTACTTTTCTTGTTACAACTTCCCTTCTTTTTTCCAATTCATTTAAGCTACTCCCCATTCTCACTAAATCCTGCCAGTAAGTTATAACCCACAGAATAATGTAAATCCTTTTACAGCACATATGGTGTTGTTATCTGAGATTTTTCTTTGAAGTCCAAGTTATTTCAGGTGATAATTTAATTGGCTTGATCACCCTTATTTGTGCAAAATTCATCTGTGCTTAATGTGCATGTTTTTTGCTTAATTTTATATAACCTCAGGATTTAAAAGTCTTCAAAGAAAATTCAGTTCAGTTCAGTTGCTCAGTCATATCCAACTCTTGGACTGCAGCACACCATGCTTCCCTGTCCATTACCAATTCCCAGAGCTTGCTCAAACTCATGTGCATCAAGTCGGTGATGCCATCCAACCTTTCATCCTCTGTCATCCCCTTCTCCTCCTGCCTTCAATCTTTCTCAGCATCTTTTCCAATCAGTCAGTTCTTCACATCAGGGGGCCAAAGTATTGGAGCTTCAGCTTCAGCATCAGTCCTTCCAATGAATATTCAGGACTGATTTCCCTTAGGATTGACTGGTTGGATCTCCTTGCAGTCCAAGGGACTCTCAAGAGTCTTCGCCAACACCGCAGTTCAAAAGCATCAATTCTTCAATGCTCAGTTCTCTTTATGGTCAAGGAAAATTCAGTTCAGTTAAATTCAGTCACTCAGTTGTGTCTGACTCTTTGCAACCCCATGGACTGCAGCATGACAGTCTTCTCTGTCTATCAGCAACTCCTGGAGTTTACTCAAACTCATGTCCATTGAGTCAGTGGTGCCATCCAACCATCTCATCCTCTGTTGTCCCCTTCTCCTCCTGCCTTCAGTCTTTCTCATTATCAGGGTCTTTTCAAATGAGTCATTTCTTCGCATCAGGTGGCCAAAGTATTGGAGTTTCAGTTTCAGCATCCATCCTTCCAATGAATATTCAGGACTGATTTCCTTTAGGATGGACTGATTGAATCTCCTTGCAGTCCAAGGGGCACTCAAGAAAATTAAGAATCTTTAATTTAAGGAGTTACATATCTATACTTGAATGGATAGGAGCATCTGTCATTGATAACTATTTGTGTGGCAGTTTTTACTGCACTGATTTTTTAACATAAATTCAATATTTTAAAATAAAAACAAACACACAAAACTCTGCTTAGTGTCCCTTTCCCTGCCCCATCACTTGGTACCCCAAGTTTTACCTCAGTTGTTTCTGTATTACATGATAGCATATTATTTGCATATTTTCATAAACCAGGAGGCAAAACACAAAATAACAATAAAAACTATAGTAGAAATAACAAAATTAGATGGAAAAGCTGTTGAACATTGAAGAGGGAGCCAAGTCAACTGCAACATCAGATGATTACATTACTTAGCTCTTATCTCATCTTCTCATAGAGACTTTTTTCCAGCCCAGAATGTTAAATGAGTGTTCAAAATCATCACCCAGAATAGAACTTCAGCTTTTTTATTGTAGATTTGTTCTTTTGCATTTTTTTGGATGCCAAGAGAAATCAGAGGTGAATGGTGTGAGGTAGGGATTGGGATTAGGGGAGCAGTAAGGAATGGACAGAGCTGGGGGGAGGGAATGGTACTGAGTATTATGTGACATTGGGACTGCAGCTAGTTGAGAGACTTCTAGAACTGTAATTAACATTTAAAGATTCCCTGGTGTAGCTGTTTTGGCTTGAGTAGTAAAATAGGAAGATCTTCTTTGCAGACATGTTGAAAATATGCATATGTGCTAAGTCGCTTCAGTCATATCTGACTCTTTGCTACCCTATGGACTGTAGCCTGCCAGGCTCCTCTGTCCATGGGATTCTCCAGGCAGGAACACTGGGGTGGGGTGCCATTCCCTCCTCTAAGGGATCTTCCCTATCCAGGGATCAAACTTGCATAAGCAGGTGGGTTGTTTACTACTAATGCCACCTGGGAAGCCCTGTTGGAAATATAATTGACTACATTTTAAAATTCTTTATGTGTTTATAATGCAAGGAAAAGAGTGAGACATACTTGGTTATTAAAGGCAATATATCAGTTCTCTATCTGTAGGTATTTTAAAAAGCAGATAAAATTTTGCTTATGCGTAAAGAACGTTTCCTTAGGAAAAGAATAGTCGTTCAGGGATTTGAATTTAATTATGTCATTTTAACAGAGGGAAAAAAGAGAAAAAACCCTTAGGCATACAAATTGAACTAATTTGTCTTCCTAGTAGCCTTGCTAAAAACATATGTCTAATGACTGCACAGTATTTAAGCTAATGAAAGTGCGAATCATATTTTTCAGGAATGGACAAATGAGGTTTTCAGTTTGGCAACAAACCTGCTGGCCCAAAACATGTCCAGGGACGCATTTCTGGAAAAGGCGTAAGTAGCTCTAATTTTATTGCAAAGGGTGTTGCTTCATCTGAGTCAGTTTCCTTTCTCCTTTGTGAGTCTTTTGTTTATGCCGCACTGGCTTCTCACATTGATGAACATAAATTTCCCTCCGGGACTTGTTAGAGAACTGATAGGTTCACTGCTTGGAACTGGAAGACTTCCAGTAAAGATTGCTCTTTCCTCTCAGCCCTCCGTCTGTGTTACACTGCGCTGGCCTGAATGTCAATGCCTTTGACACGCAGTAAGGAGATACTTCTAAATCCTGGCAACCACGCCCAAAATCAAAAACTATTCATCTCAGAGAGTCGTCAGCCCTACATCTGCCTGCGTTGTATCAATTATTAATCTAAGGAAGCGAACGAACAACATATGGGACTCAATTCTCCAGAGTCTAAGATCTCTGATAGATGCAACTTAAATCAGTAAGCTGATGTCCTGATTCCTGTCCTAGACAATCACAGCAACTGTTAATAAGAAAAGAGAAAAAGAATGTAAAGGAAAAAGCAGAATGAAAACAAAAAGAAAAAAAGCAAATCAGGAGTACCCAATCACTCTCGAATTACATAGTCTTTCTGAAATTTATTTGACCAAGGAAAATAACAGTTTCTGCCAGATGAGCAAGTAGGAAAGCTGGTTGTGATCAGTTTGGACACTGGATATTCAGGAGGTTGGAAAACGTTGAAATCAGGACCACAAATGGAAACATTACTAGGTGGTCCTCTATTTTTATTTAATAACTTTCTGTCTTCCCTCTTCTGTAAGACATACCCATCATTCCAAACCAAAGATTCCAGTCCACTTTTCTTTCATACTCTTCCATGAGTTTCTTTTGCTATTAGTCAGGACTTCATGGGTTTTCTCAAATGCTCTTTCGTGTCATCTTCTCATCTCATTAGTTTGTCACCTTCAGGACCCTTTCTACATGCCTTACCCTCTCCTCTGCCCTTTATTCCTCTTTTTTTGTTGTTGTTTCAATTGTCTTCTTATCATTCTTCATCTAACAGACTTTCTGGAAAATCTGCTGAGCCACACAGAATGTTGGTGGAAAGTGACACGTAGACATAGCACATTGCAGCTAGTAAAACAGCTAGTTGGCTAGTCATACCTATTGCAAATGTCCACTTCCAACAGGCATCTCCCCATGAATAGCTGCTGTGGTCATTCTAGAGCACGCCTTATGGGGAACACACTGTAAGCATTTATTTATGTTGCATCCACACCGAGGAATGGAATGGCTGTGTGCATGAGCAGTTGGTGGTCCCAGTTTATATACCCATCAAAAGAGTTTGTAAGCTCTCCTGTGTCTTCTCTTTGTCTGCACACCCAGAAGCAGTGAAAGAGATAAGTGCAGTTTTATATTCACACAATGGGATACCATACAGCAATGAGAGTGAAAGATTCACAGTGAAAAGCAAATATATGGATGGATCTTGAAAATATAATATTGAGTGAAAGAATCCATAAAAGAGTGTGATTCTATTATGTAAAGTGCAAAATTAATCTGAATGTTTAAAGTCAGGGTAATGGTTTGCTCCTGGGGGACCAGCTATGGAAAGGGCATGAGAGGGGCTCCTGGGATTCTATTAAAATAAGAATATTCTTTTTCTTGATCTGGGTGCTGATTGCAGAAACTTGGACAATAGGTGAAAATTCAGCCAACTGTACATATGAAAGAGCCTTTTTCTATGCATTTTATTCATCAATGAAAATTTTTAAAAAATTAAACAGTTTTCTGCTTCTCCAACAGGTATACTAAACTTAAGCTGCAAGTCACTCCAGAAGGACGCATTCCTCTCAAAAAGTAAGCTGTGTGAGCGAGTCCCATTATTTTCTATTTTTGTTTCCTCAGAGATCTGAGTCTGTGCCGTGGCTCTGCTTTGATCCAGGGGAGCCTGGAGGTGTGTGGTGGCCCAGTCCCCCAACATGCACCACGTATGCATCCTCAGAGATGCACCATGTATGCATCCTCAGAGATGCACTGTGTATGCACTGTGTATGCATGCTCAGAGAGGCTTCCTGGGCTTCCTGCTTCCCTGTGGCATTGCTTTCAAGGAACACCAAAGCAGGAAGGGGGTGGAGGGGATGAGAGGCCTTTGCTGTTAAACCTAAAAGAACATCTGAGACTCAGATCTAGTCTAGGAATGGAAATTAGGCAACCGTGATGCCTCTTTCTTCCAAGATGACACTAGCCTTGAAACCAGGGTTGCAAACTTCAATGTCAACAGAAGTTAGACAGGGAACATCCATGACAAAGCAGGCCAGGGACAAGAAGGAAAAGTGAAGAATGAAAGCTGTCTCAAAGAGACAAGGATAATAGCTCTACCAGATTCCCCATGGGGCTGGTGGTTTCCAGGTGATAGATTTCCTAATATTTCAATGGAGCCCATAAATCCAAATTATTAAACTGTCCATTATCTAAGTTATATATTTTAAAGCAAAATCACTGGCCAAAAAAAGTGCAGTTCTAGACCATAGTCAGTCAAAATCCTTCAACTTTTAACAGCTACCAGTGAGCTTCTGCTCATAAAAAGTTATTTATTAATAATATTAGCAATGTATACTTTCAAAGCAGTGGTAGCAGCAAGGAGACAAAATTCTTCAGATATTTGTTTTAAAACTTCATACTAGAATCATTTTTAATGCAATGTTTTTTAATCGGGTCATCATCATTGTCTCAAAATATTAATTTGCTACTAGACACTTTGATTTTGAAAAGCACACACATAGATCTTCCAGAGCACAGATGCTGATCCCGGAGCGAGTGCTATGTGTTCAGTCTTTGGGGACGAGGGATGACAAGGTTTGAGCGAGTGGGGTGTGGTGGCTGGCGGCATCCGCAGCCTCTCTCACCTGCGTGCCTTCCCTTCACAGCATATACCGCCTGTTCTCAGCAGACCGGAAGCGAGTCGAGACAGCTTTAGAGGCGTGTAGTCTTCCATCTTCAAGGGTGAGCATGACGCCTTCCTGAAATTACCACTGCTTAATAGCTCTGGATAAGCATACTAAAATATATCGTGCCCCAATATTATCCAAACATTTTTAAAGTTAAGAATATGACTTATTTGTTAATATTTACAATATATAGGTCACTATATATCTTTTTCAATCCCGTAATCCCAGTATTTTCAATAAGAAAACCCCTTGTTCATTGTAAATTTTTTAAAAAATAACCAACCCAACTAATGCCAAAAATGTATTGGCCAAAAAATATTAACGTTATCAAGAATTTAAGCTGCTCATTAATAATAAATCCTTTCTTGAAGTTCCTTGAGATATTAACTGATGATTAAGAATTATGATTAGGAGGATTTAAAAATATTAATTTCATTTTATCCCCCTTTTAAAAGTCTAGGTTTAAGACTGATAAGTTAATAAACAGAGTAAATAAATGTTATTTACGTACTATGCAGGGCAGTGCTCAAAAGGCTTTGTGAAGGATCAAAACATTTTGGATATTGCCTACATTGCACCTAAGTGACACATAATGAGAGGACAAGGATGTGAGATGCTTTTGGTTTTTCACCTAGTGATTTGAGGCACTTAGTATACATTAACCTCCTAAAAAAAGTAATTTGCCTTTATTTCAATGCATTTCTACATACTTGGTTCTAAAAAAATTTACTGTTGTTTCTGGGGTAGCTGGGTATATTGCATAAAACCTTTTTCTTTTCCTCTATGTAGAACACTCCTTTCTGTTACAAATTATTTTTATCCTGGTATCTAAGCAACAAGTAAGCAAAAATAACACTTATACCCAAGGAAGAACCCCTGAGTCTCTTGAAACATACTGGCAACATTGAAGTTGCACTGAATGAAGTTGAGAAAACATTCTTAAATTGTGAATAAGTTATGAAAAGTGTCCAGAGCTCTTGTGTTGGCCAGTTCTTCTTGAGAATATTTTTGAAAAAAATGAAACGTATTAAAGACTTTTGTAGGTAACAGAAAAGAAAAGAGTGGCTGTTTGCTGTCGGTTTCTTGCTGTCTGTGGAAACAGTTGCTGATGTGCCAAACACTGTACAGAACCATGAAAGGGCTCCCCAAACATTTAAGCTTCACTTTAATAAGCAAAAGAAAATGATCAAGCTTGTTATTATTGCTCTTTTGTTTCATGCTTTGGAGCCAGAAAGATGTAACAGTTAAGATCCTGTCCTTGACTCAACAAATATTTCATTTTTTAAATTTGACCTGTAGTATTTTTTCTTATTTTTTTTAATTGAAAAATCATTGATTTATGTGTGTTGATTTATGATCTACAGCAAAGTGATTCCGCTATGAATGTAGTTTTTTCCTATGCTATACAGTAGAACCTTGTTATTTATTTATCCTATATTAATATAATAGTTAGCATCTGCTAATCCCAGACCACTAATCCACCCCTCCCCCCATCTCCTCCTCACCTCACCTTTTCTCCTTGGTAACACTAAATTTGTTTTCTATGTCTCTGAATCTGTTTCTATTACATAGGTAGATTCATTTGTGCCATATTTTATATTCCACATATAAGTAATATAATATAGTATTCTTTGCCTGTTTTATTTCACTTAGCATAATGCTCTCCAAGTCCATCCACGTTGCTGCAAATAGCATTATTTCATTCTTTTTTAAGGATGAATTGTATTCCACTATATATATATATGCCACATATATTCCATATATTTTTATCCACACCTTCTTTATCCATTCAGACTCAAGGAATATCTCTTGAGCTCTTACTGTGTTCCCTCCATCCCTGAGAATATGGAAGTGAGAAAAATTAAGTTTCAGTGCCAGGATTCAAGGACTATACATTCTCTGGGGGTGCTAGTTAAATACTTCAACTACACATGTAAATTGGGGGAAACGCCCTGAACAAATGGAATGGAGCATTGCTATTGAGAATAAGAGAAATTCATTCCAGAAAAAGAAAACTGCAGCACCCTGAGGCTGGAAAAAGTTTGCCAGTTTGAGCAACTGTAAAAAGATCACTGTATTTAAGCATGAAAAAAAAAAAAGCATGAAACATGAATTTAGAAAGATTTGCAAAGAATTTGTTTCCTCTGCAGTTGCTCCTGATTTGACCTTTACCTGATTTGACCTAATATCTTGTGGGGGAAAAAAGATAAAAATGTTAACTTGTTACTATAAATCTAGCTAAGGGAAAGAAGGAATAGAAAAAGCTGAATAGAAAATCAAATCCATCAACCAGTTCTCTGTGTATTACAACTTTCTAAACAATTGGATTCTGAGAATTCAGTCAATAAATACAAATTGAGTCTTTATAATCCACTGTCTTTATTTATAGGTTCGCACTTTCAAACCAGTGTCAATTGGAGACATTTTTTAAAGGAAAATGAGATTCAGATAGCAGGAGTTGGGTTTAAATTGAAACAATATTTATCTCTAGTAAATTAAATGTTATGACAATTTTCTGAAAACAAATTGGAGCTTTAAAAAAAATCAGCCTCCCTCATAAAGTTTTCAAAGCTCATTATTCACAGTAAAGTGTGCTCTGCTTGGAGGAGTGGCAGAAGTAGAATGCTGTGAAAATATCTATAAACCAAAGTCAGTTTCAGGGCTAGGAAACACGTGTCCTGGGACTGACTATGTATTTTGAATCTTTGCTGTAATTTCATATCTACAGGATAGTGGTTCTAGAAAATATTCACTAATTAGCAAAGGTATACTGACAACAGGTGTTTTAAACACTTCACAGAAGAAATGGTTACACAAGTGGTAGATCATATTAATTACAGTACATATCAGGGAGCCTCAGATAGCCAGTGGTTATGCAAACTCATTTGAAAAGTCCCTGATGCTGGGAAAGATTGAGGGCAGGAGGAGAAGGGGACGACAGAGGATGAGAAGGTTGGATGGCATCACCGACTCAATGGACATGAGTTTGAGTAAACTCGGAGTTGATGATGGACAGGGAGGCCTGGCGTGCTGCAGTCCATGGGGTCACAAAGAGTCAGTAATGACTGAGCAACTGAACTGAACTGAACTAGGTTCAAACTAGGTTTAATTGTGTTCTGTAAATAGATACGTTACCAGAAATACTGTGGACATCCTGTTGTGATTTTTTTAGACATTATCTTTGTGCGCATTGTTAGGGATAATTAATGCACTTGAACTCGTATCCTGACCAACATGATCCATTGAAATAACACATTCCGTAATGGGTACTCCTTTAGCTATTTCAATTGCTCATTAAAGTTACCTTAATTGTTAAAAAGTAGTATGTATGTAAAAACAGCTAAAACAATTACTGTCTTCTATTAATAATCCAAATACATATTTCAGTGAGAACTTTGAAGGCCTTTCCATATTCATAAAATTGCTACTTTGCCCACAAGCTTTCTAACAGAAAATAATTTACTTGCACCAAATTCCCTTTGATTTAAGGCTTTTTTAACTTGAAAGAAAAGCTCAGTGACATTTGGGATCACATTATAATCTTGGAATAGCACTGGCCTTTTAGTGAAGAAGATAGGAATAAATCTATATATTTTTTTGAATAATAAATTTTACTATAGCTATCAACATACATGTAATACCCCCCCAAAAAGTGATTATTTTGGATTTACAGAATTTGATACATTTTAGTAAAGAATACTGTGAATGAAATTTACTAAAGAACTTCTCCCAGGATAACTGCAATATGTTGCCTTTCTCCTATACCTTATACCCAGAATGTAAATCAGAAATATAGTGACTTATTCAGCTGTGAATCTTAAAATCACTAATACACAATTCCATTTTAGAACCACATTTAATATTTGGTTCATTATCAGTAGCTTACTTGTAATTATTTCATGTCCTCTCTGGCTACAACTTTCGTTTTATCCCTTTAGAACAAAAATATTCATAGGTTGAAATCCTGAATTTACTGGAAAATGATTCAATGATTAGTCAAGATAAAATCTGCATGTGGACTCCTTATTCATTAGAGTCCACTGAAATAAATTAATATGTTTTAGAATAACATTTCTGAATGTTAAACACTTATTTATTACAAAGTTTTTTAAATCTATAAATATACAAAGAAGAATATACAAACAATATCCAAAAATTGGCATGAAATTTAGTTTTCTGGATTACAGCATGAGTTGAGGAATCAAGAAACCTAATTTGAAACATAGCAAACCTGCCCCCATCAACTTGATGCCATAGACAAGTTTTGCAAACTCCTATCTCCTTAGCGTTTGTATCTGTAAAAAGGATCACCATTCCAACCTCATAGAGCTGACAAGGAGTTAAATGAAAGCATTCAAGTAAAGCTCCTAGAACTATATGCTTGGCATACAGTAAGTGCTCAATAAATATTTATTCTTATTATCCTCTGAGAATTATTTATATGCATATACATGACTTTCACTCTCTTTTTTACGTACATATATTTTTTTCTAGATTTTTTTTACCTTATAGATCATCATGAAATATTGAGTATAGTTCCTTGTGCTATGCAGTAGGTCATTGTTGGTTACCTGTTTTACATACAGGAGTGTGTGTATATTAATCCCAAATTCCTAGTTTACCCCTCCTCACCTTTCTCCTTTGGTGACTGTAAGTTTGTTTTCTATGCCTCCAGGTCTATTTCTGTTTTGTATGTAAGTTCATTTGTATCATTTGTTAAGATTCTACATAAAAATGATATAATATTTGTCTTTGTCTGGCTTACTTCACTTTGTTATTTTTAATTTGGCATGTAGATATTTCATAACCTGTTTCTGGAATCTGGAGATGTAAATACCACCAGTACTACCTTCAAGTTGTACTGAAGGTAGATTCTTTGTATTCAACCATAGAATTGAAGCAACTCCATTTTTAAGGAAAATACTTTGTAGTTTCTGGAATAAATGGGCCTGATTCAGACTGTATTGGCCTTCTTAATTCTTCCTCCAAAAAATTTTGATAATAATGGAAACAAATAATCATTGATAATCTGTTATGTGCTGGTGGCATGATGAAGTAAACGAAGTCCTGGACCACGACCGATCTAAGGTCTGGTGCCATATCCTGAGTGAATTCAACAAGCATTCATTAGGTGTATATTATATGCCACACATTATTCTGGAGACACAAAGGAATTAAATAAGAGATAGTGCGCTTTATTCAAAAACACAGTCTAGTTGATAATCAGAAATATAAAAACTAAAGGAAAACTGTGTGGTGAATGCTATAAAGAATATATATGAAGGTGGATTGCAGACACACACACAAAAAATTGCACACACATCTCTACCTGGTTGGTTTAGAAGTGTTCACAAAAGAGTGTTTGACGTTTTGGTATGCTCTTGAGCATCGTCCTTAGATTTCATGCTACTCAAACATGGCACAATGAGTCTGTTCTATCCCCTTTACCAAATCATGAAATCCAGGAAAATAAAATATGTGAATGATCTTTGCACATTCCAGCCTTATTTAAAATGTAAGGAATTATTAACTGACCATAGCTTTTCCTTCAATATCTCCTCCATATTCTTTCACTTTAGCGTTCAGTGATGTTCATTTCAACTTATTTCTCCAAAATGTTTTTCCCTCATTTTCACCCACTGACCCCAAAGGTTATCCCCATCAATCAAGTTGGACAAGAGACAAATGAAGCTGTATTGAAATGTTTTCCATTTTCTAGGTGCTAACATCCGACTGGTAATAAAAGCAATATTGTATTTATTCAGATTATTTCATCAATGTGTCCCCTCTAATAAGAAGTTCTAATTTATAGCTGGTTAATAAAAAATAGAGTTTTAGTAAAGCATGTCATCTTATGAAATGATGTGTATGGATTCTTTTGTAAATGGCTTTAGTTGAATCTGATATCTTATGGGAAGCATATTTGCTATCAATTTCCACCTTTTTCATAAATTACATTCATTCATTTAGTAAATATTTATTGTGAACCTGCTGTATGTTACAGAGACTAAGCAATTAACAACGCACAGGTCCTAGCTTGTGTCAGTCTGCAGGTTAGCAAGTAACACAGAAAACTGTACGTCTGGAAGCACAAAACAGTTAAGTGAGAACTGAAACAGGAGACAAGCATCGTGTGATAATAGCACAGAATGGAAATTAAAACCTGGTGTAGGAGGAAGAGGTTTTAAGCTAAGACAAGAAGGGAGGAAAATAAAGGAAGTCGATAAGAAAAGGAAGACAATGACTGATAGCCTTAGACAAAATCTGCTTGTATGCTTTTAGTGAGATCTGGAGAAGGGGAAGTAGAGGGATCTCTAAATAGTAACTAAACAGCAGGGAGTATAAGAGAACAAATTTGGGGTTCATCAACTCCAATAAAGTCTGATGCTTGACTTGGCCAAATGAGGCACTGAGTATTTCCTTGAGATGTGTTTTTAAATCTCTCTTCCCTGTATCTCTCAGCCAGAGAATATGATAGCAATGCTCATTTTTGGCTATTTTCAAAGCTACTTATAAGAGACATGGGTGTCTAACTCAGAGAGAGTGTGGCAATTAAAAAGTGTACATTCTCCAGTCAAAAGGATTCTCTCACTTTGTAAATTAAATGGAATTTTGGAAACCTGTTCACAGGTTAAACTTTTCCCCATTTTATGAGTGGCAAATCATCATGAAACAATATGTTGGAATTTCCTTCTTGGAACTGGCTGCTTATACTTATGATTTCAAAGTTATTGTCCAGGTTACTGAGCTTAACCATTTAATGCTTCTTGCTATATATAAATGATGTGTGTTGTTTGGTTGTCTCAAAATGCTATTTTGCAAAATGGATTTTTTTTCCTGCTCTATAAATCAATTTAGTAAAGAATATGTTATTTTGTTTGTTCATTTCTCAAATGTAGGACTCCTGCTGTTTGCCAAGTAGTGAACTAAGTTTTCTTATCTGTTAGCAAGCAGTGCAGTCTCAGACCATAATTCAGACAATAATTTTTATATACTTCTATAAAAGTATATTTACAAAAATATGAATATGGTAAAAGGAAGGATGTTTTCTTTGATTTAAGGGCTTAAAAATAAAAATAATCATATAAACACATACCCGAAATAGAAAAAATGGCATGAAGAATGTCCTTCCTGTTAACAAACGCTTGAATACATGCTTCCGGTTTCCATGGCAGCCCCAGTAAACAGAAAATTAAGTCACAAAACTCAGTTTTTATATCAGTGACTTACTTTCTAAACAATAGGACTGAGAGGAATCAGTGACAAATGATGACTGGTGTCCTACTTATGAAAACTGTTGTAACTTATCAGTTTACTTAAAAAAGAAAGAACACTTTGGAAAAAAAATCTTATGTTTTCATTTTGAAAATGTCCTTCTCCGGTTCTCCAAAGAAAAATACATTCACTCAAAAGTCTGCTAAACAGCACATAAACAATGTGAATGCTCTTCATGCCACTGATTTGTACATTGAAAAGTGGTGAAAATGACATATTTATGTTCTGTATACTTTATCACAATCAAAAATGAGATTAAAGTCACCAGGAAAAGCAACCTAAAAGAAAAAAAATGCTGAACAGACCATGTTTTTACTAGGTCTAACTTACTTTAGAAATTGCCTTAACATCCCTTCAGAAGGAGAAAACTCTTAAGCTTAAAATATAATGAGAAAACAGAAAGTAAGCTTTTGATACCTCAAAAACTAGTGTCCCTGTAATGATAGCCTCGTAGATGCTTTCTGAATGCTTACTCTGAGCTCTTAAAAGAAAGAGGAAAGAAGGAGGAAAGAGACAGACAAAACAGGAAGGGAAGATAATGAAGAAAAAGACCATTTACTGACCCTCTTATTTTATTCCCCAGAATGATTCGATACCTCAAGAAGATTTCACTCCTGAAGTGTACAGAGTTTTCCTGAACAACCTTTGTCCTCGACCTGAAATTGATAACATCTTTTCCGAATTGTAAGAGAACACATTTTAACCCATTTGTTCCTGCATACAGTGGTGCTCAGTGTGGCTGTGGCAGCGTTTTGAGTGCTAGAGGGAGATGTCAGAATCTCTTTGTACAATGAGTAATAGCACTGCTTCTGCGTCATTTGTCGGAGACAATCACGCATTCATACCTCTGAGGTTCAGTCACTGCTTGTAATGAGTGAAATTTGCTGTGACTTGTTGCAGGGTGTCATTGTCTTAATATTCTCTGGAGTCTCTGTATGATTTGAAGACTATGGCTAGAACTGAGAAGCACGTATGCAAGAGTCTTTGCAGAGATAGATTCATGTTGTAGAAACGCTGATCCAGGAACCCGTCATCATACTTCTCTGCATTGCATCAGTGAAATGAGAATTTCAGATCACTAAGAACCCTCCCAGATGAAAATTATTTGCTTTTATATTAGAAATTATACAGACATTACTTTTTTAATGATTAAAAAAAAAGAAATCAAAACACCAAGGCAAATATGGGGAAGGAGTAATTTAACCTTCTTGATATACTGAAATCTACATGCTGACAGACCAATCCAAAATTGATAAGCTAAATAAAGATTTTTTTCATATGGAAATCAAGCACAGTACTTTGCTGAGTTCATTGCCATCAGTTGTTGATAGAACATCTGCAACATCTGTACCATTGAACTTGTCTTTGGGTTGTCAACAGGATTGAAATGGGAATTTTGAATCACACTACATTGCAGAGTTATAGACTCTTGCTGAAGCATAATTTTAATGAAAAGGAAAATGTGCCAAATCATATTGGTTCTTTTTAGTAATGAGTAATAAATACATCTTTAGGATGATTAAGCAGAATATGAGAATTTGATGACTAAACCAGTTTAGCATCCTAATCACAACAGCAACCCATAACCTGTATTCCCTTTAGAGTGCTGCACCTTCACACACAAAACGCATCTTCCCTACTGTGGTTTTCTTTTGCATCTGGTATAGTTCAAGGGCATTGGGATTTGGTGGCAGTCATTGCAAAGTGTTTGCATCCCATAGAGATACAGCAGTTGTGATGGAGCCACACAAGGTGTTTAGGGCCAGATAGGAATTCCAGTATAGCATGCTCTTGCCAGGTATGGCAGGCCTTTATTTCTACAGAGCTGCTAAATGCAAATACATGAATGAGACTTAACAGAAAAACCTGCTAATTTCCTGGTATTTAACTGTTTTTAGTGGTGCCAAAAGCAAACCATACCTTACAGTTGATCAGATGATGGATTTTATCAACCTCAAGCAGCGAGATCCCCGGCTAAATGAAATACTTTACCCACCTTTAAAGCAAGAGCAAGTCCAAGTGTTGATTGAGAAGTATGAACCTAACAACAGCCTCGCCAAAAAAGGTCAGTTCACTTTTTCCCACACCAGAATGAGGCTCGAGTTCTAATTGTGAGTGGGCCACTCTTCGTAGTCACAGACATCAAGGGTCATTTAGGGTTTTCTTTTTCTTTTTTTTTTTTTTTTTAAGTTTGGTATGTGATGTTTATCTGGTGGCTCAGTTGGTGAAGAATCTGCCTGCACTACAGGAGGCCTGGGTTCGATCCCTGGGTTGGGAAGATCCCCTAGAGAAGGAAATGACTACCCACTCCAGTATTCTTGTATGGGAAATCCCATGCACGGAGGAGCCTGGTAGACTACAGTCCATGGGGTCGCACAGAGTCAGACACGACTGAGCGACAAAGCCATCACCATCACTATGTGATGTTTGTGTTGCATGTTGTATATACATGTGTATGTAACATTATTTTGGGGGCTTCCCAGGTGGTGCTCATGGTGAAGAACCTACCTGCCAATGCAGGAGACTTAAGAGATGTGGATTAGATCCCTGGGCTAGGAAGATCCCCAAGGAAGGCATGGCAACCAACTCCGGTATTTTTACCTGGAGAATCCCCTGGACAGAGGAGCCTGGCGGGCTACAGTCCATGGGGTCCCAAAGAGTCAGACAGGACTGAAGTGACTTAGCGTGCATGCAACATTGTTTTTTAAATGTCTAATCATTTGTTTTGTTTTAAAATTTCCCCATGGCTGAATGCATCTTCCTTCAGACAGGAAATTCACTATCTTAAAAATTACCCTTTTGGTTCTCTTTCTAGTTCTATGACATGACCCACAGATATTTCTAAATCACTGAAACTGAAGAGACTATTCAATCCATTAGAACCCTATCTTTTTCTAGCTTACACTATTGAATTTTTGCACTTGAAAAAATATTTAAACTTTGTCCTTCTGTGCTTAAAAAAATTTGTGTTTATAGGGGAAAAAACTGGTATCAGATAGATGAACTAAATTGCCTGAAAGTTATTGAGGTATTTATATCTTTGATTCTGGAGAAAAGACTTGCAAAAATAAGATCATGAAAATTCAGTTTCAGGCAGTTTCTAATTGTATTAGTATATGGCATCATTGTCTCTGAACTGGATCATCAGTTCTTCCTTTATCACTAGTGATCAAGTCTCATCTGGATTGAAATTCCTTCACTGGGAAAATTAGTATGTTATTACTGATGTTATTCTAAATTGCCTAGATATTGTCCAACTTGGACATATTCCAATGGGAGTAAAGAAAATAGAATGCAATTAAATAATTATTAAGATATTAAGAAGAAATAGATTCCCTGTTAATATGCAAGTAATTCATAAGTAACAGACAGCTCTGGCAAGCTTATGGTCATTAATAAGAATAGTTATCATAAAAGTAGATTTAAAAGTTTTTTTTAACATATTGCATTTTTTCTGGAACTAGTCCTCTAAATGAGAAATGGAAGTATTTATTAATATCAAAGTAATATCTTATCATTAATTCTATTCTAATTTAGAGATGATTTACTTTTGTTTTTAGTTTTATTATTTTACATATTTTCATTCTAGTCTAAGTTTCTTTGTCAGGCACTTTGCCTTTGTTGTAGCATCATTCTTATCATTGCCGACATCAAAGGAAACAACTGGCCCAACAGCACATGTTGGTGTTGCCAGGCCAGCCCTCCAACCTCCTCATATCTGATGCTCTTTCTTACCTGGTGCCTTAGAGTTGGGATTTCTCCTTATCATTAAACCAGAGACTCCTTGGAAATAGCTTGACAGTTCCCTTCTGAAATCCAAATTTCACCAAAAATAACTAACAGGGTTTTAACAAGTCCAATAAGACTTCTAAAATCAGCCCATGACACCCAGAAACCAAAAAGCTTTTGTGAAACCAATGAAGCACTTCAGAATCTAAACTGTGCCCTTTTCTCATCCCCTCACACCGCATTACTGATGGTCCATACTTCATCTAGTGTGTGACACCCCCATACATGACTCGGACAGAGTAGAGGATACAAAGGAAAATATTCTAATAGGTTATTGTAAAACTCTGTCATCCTGGAAGAACCGATTTGATTCTAATGGAGATTAAGATTAGACTCTTGCAGATGCAAGAGTGTTTAGTGCCGTTTTACAGCCATACTGGATATAAATTCCATAATCATGCAGACATATATAATTCAGGTATATCTAATACAGCAACTCTGGGACCTACCTGGTGGTCCAGTAGTTAAGACTTCATGCTTCCACTACAGGGGTTTGTGTTCAATCCCTGATCAGGGAACTAAGATCTCACAAAACAAAACCAATAAATAAATAAATAAAATTTAAGAAATAAAATAGCAATTTAATTTATTTTTCTACAACTTTATTTTTCTACACCTTAATATGGTAATTGATTGTGAAGTCTCCATGTCAGCCTTCATGTGATTTTTTTTAACCACAGTATTTCTCAATCCCAAAACCTCAGTAGAAAGATGAACTTGTAATGTCTCACACCAAGTCATTTTGTTTGCTGCTTTGGCTCTGTTTATGTGAACAACAAAGATTAGAGAAGATTGTTTTGCTTTTCTAGCAACTGTTGTAACATTGTCAAAAGGATAACAATTTTGAAATATGTGTTTGTAGGAATAAGAAATCATTGGATTTAGACCTCAATTTTTTAGTAACCAAGACTTTGAGATATTTTTTCAAGATTTTTTCAAAGTTTTATTTGACTCTGCCATTCATGTTATTTGATGTTTGACTTTTAACATATTTTTAGGAACTCCTTTATATGTCCAACAAAGTACAATTTAGTAAAGTATTTATTATATGGCTTCATTGATTGATATGCAAGGAAATTAGCTTTCATTTATTCTGTGACTTTCAAAATAATACATTATCATTTTGCAAAGAAGGTAGCCAAGTCTTTGAGATCAAATGACTTACTTAATAAGATCTCCTACCAAGATACTCTTCCAAAAAGCAGTTTTTAATTTTCAGTCAATGAGCTAGTATCTTTTTTAAAATTAATTTATTTTTTATTGAAGGATAATTACTTCATAGAATTTTGCTGTTTTCTGTAAAACCTCAACATGAATCAGCCACAGGTATACATATCTCCTCCCTTTTGAACCTCCCTCCCATCTCCCGCCCCATCCGACCCCTCTAGGTTGTTGCAGAGCCCCTGTTTGAGTTTCCTGAGACACCAGCAAATTCCCATTGGCTCTCTATTTTACATATGGTAATGTAAGTTTCCACTTTAATCAATAAACACCTAAGAAAATAAGTAGTGAAGTTTAATATTATATTTTTTTCTGTTGTACTTTACATTTTGCCTAGTTCTTCAAATGTGTTCAAGCATTAATTAAAATGACCCCCCAAACTCGGTCTCATTAATCTGAGAAAAGCACTTCCATATGGCCTATATTTGATATAAAATGATGGGAATAAGATACATACAGAATATACAATGCATGCATGCTAAGTTTCTTCAGTCGTGTCCGACTCTGTGATCCTGTGGACTGCAAACCCATCAGGCTCCTCTGGCCATGGGCTTCTCCAAGCAAGAATACTGGAGTGGGCTGCCATGCCCTCCTCCAGGGGATTTTTCCCACCCAGCGATCGAACCCACATCTCCTGCAAATCTTGCATTGGCAGGTAGGTTCTTTACCACTAGCCAGAAAATACGTATGTAATAACAAAAATACACTTATACTCTCCGATATCAAGAAATGTATTTTAAAGTCAGGTGTAAAACAAATAGAGAGCACACAAACTTGACATATGCTAATGTTTAATATTATGTGCATTTTATATAATTTCAACATAGAAGGTAATTTTCATTTAAATGAAAAATTTTGAATGTAGCTAAAAGCCTAGCGGCTAAGACTGAGCACAGGTAAGCTGACTGATGGCACAGCACCTGGAAGCATGAAGTGAAAACCTGGAAGAGCTGACCATTGGTGATGCTCTGTGGGACTGCTGTCATCAGTTGTCCACATCCCATGCTGGAGTTTCTGTCTCTCTACATATGCACTGGTTATAACTAATTGGAAGGTTTGTGTGCTGTCTAAAGCCAAATGTTCATGTGTTTGGGTTGCACAGAGTTGTAGTCTTGTTGCAGAAGCTGCTGTTCTCAAGGGAGTTAGATTTATTTTTACAATTTAAAATCACACACTAAAAAATTCATGTGGCCCCAAGTCAGCAAATGTTTCTTCCTTACCATATTGTTTGTGCTTTAGGCCTAACTATGCTTAACATAGGGCTACACAATGACCCCTGCCTCTATTGAACAGTCATGAATGTAAGTTTGAAGACTAATGTTTCTTAAACTGTTAATTTTTTTTATCACTTAAACTCTTTAAAAGGAAGGCAGTGAGTAAAATTCACATGAAAAATGAAATATTTGTATTGATGCCTTAGGTAACAGACTACAGACCTCTAGATTCAGCAGTTATGTCTGTGAAAGAAGACCAAATACTGCTTAAACTGCCAAACCAAAAGAAAACAGTTGAATTTGTTCATACTTTTATTCTTCTGTGAAAAGCAGGTGTTCATAAGTATTTATTAAACAACTGAATTAATATAATAGGTTATAATATTAGTAAATGTTTCAAGGTAATTTTCTTTTTTAACGTGTTCTTTCCCTTAAATTTTTACAAGGTGTGGCATGTGAAAGCTTCCCTGCTTTGTTGCAATTGAATTTTTAAAATACTGTGAATTAATAGTTTAATAGGTGAACTCAAAATGAATAATAGCAGAGCTATTTTGTGTTAAACCAAGCAAATAGAAGTTCAGGTATAGCAAGCACTTTTGTTCCAAATCCACCTACACTAATAATGATTTGCATCACTAGAAATAATCCCATTGTATTTTCAATATCATTTTAAGAAACTCCTGCAAATGAACTTCATTGTGTCATTGTTATCAGCAGCAAGAAGCACTCAGAGTATGCTAGATTGGGCACTGGATTTGGGAGTCTTGCAGCCTGTAGTATTAGGTGGAACTCCTTTAGTTGAAAAAAGACAAACTAACTGAAACTGAAGCACAGAAAGGGA